CAGCATATGAGAGTTTACGGAGTGATTTGGCGTACAGATCAGAGTCTCTCAAACAGACAAGGGCGCGCATAATAAAATCAGCTGCAAGACATCCATTGACTACTTACTTCCTAAGATATTCCAGACAATGCAGCAGGCTGATCTTTTCCTCTGAAGAGAAAAAGCGGACCTCTGTAGAATGGTTTTGCTCAGTTCTTGCGTTTATCTTGGATTTGTCACAAAAAATTCCAACTCATCTTCTGGTAATAGCTGTGGCAGAGCGTTCTTCTAGAACGACCGGGTTGTTCTTCAGTAAATGATGTCCCGGTAAAATGCCGTACTTTACATTTTCGGACATGACCCCAAGAGGATTTTTTGTTCAGAGCAGCATTCTGAATCGATTCATATAAAAATATTCATACTTCTTTTTTCTACTTCCCTCCTCCTTTAAAAAGATTATTTTCTATCTTAAGAATATGAAATAACTCACTTTTTGGTGTAATTTCCTTCAAACTCGTCTTTTTGATTTCGAAAAACATGGTCAGAATAGTTCGAAAAACATGGTCAGAATAGTCAGAATTAGTTCATCGCCTTCCATCAATCCATAAAACAAAATATTTCTTGGCACATAAAGACATGACGCCGTATTCTTACTAAAAAATGATATGCGGCTCCAAGTCAAGCTTTATCTTTTTCTTCCTCCGTTTTCGACGTTTCCTTTTGTCCAGCATGCTTTTTTTCTCTGCTCCCATACTCTTGTAGTCCCTTGTACTTGATCTTTTTTGTTTACAATTTTCCTAATTTTCAAACTTTCAAAACATCAACTCAAAATTTCTAGAGCCATCATGTCGCGCCCATTGATGCCCAATGACACTAACGTCTCGAAGAGAGAAGCCCAACCCGGAAAGGTTCTCCTCACCGGATACGCGTACCTCGAATCCTACAGTCCAAGTGGAGTTCGGGTATTCGTTCCGGGATACCGAGAGGATTTCTTCATCCCCAACTCCCCAACTGCGTAAGTTATTTCAGAGTACTGTATGTTCAGAGCAGTATATCTCGGTTGTCTTTCCAGCTATCAAAAAGTAGTCAACTAGTAGAATATTCGGAATGTTTTGCTTCACATGTTTTCATTTGACTTATTCTGATAGAAGTTTCAAAGACAACCGAGATATGCTGCTTCAAACATACAAACAGTACGGTAGATTCAATCTTATATATTTCAGAGGTTACACTATGTCTGCAATGCTCGATGAATGGATCGAGTTTAGTGTATTCGAGGGAACCAAGAAATTTGATCCTGATGTTCTACCGATTCCGGTCTGCGCTTCAACTCCCTCAGCAAGAGGAACAATTATTCTAATGTGTCAAAAAGTTGGAGACGGTGTCTTGAAAACTGTTGGTGAAGGTCACGTGGTGACTGATCCTGACAATGAACTTGGTAAGTGACTCACCCAGAGTAATGTTTTGTTCAGAGCAGCGTTGTCTGTGGAGCTATATTTTTGCTTTACATTTTTTTAGTTGACTGCGTTTTGATAGCTTGTAAGGTAGCTGAGATGTGTTGCTCTGAACGTACAGTACTAAGATACAGGATTTACAGTAGTTGAAATGTCTTATTTTACAGAATCCAGAGGAATTCATAGAAGCTTCATGTTAAAGATAAGACTTCGATTGAGACCCGGTTATCCAAACAAACCAGTCTTTGTGGTCGACAGAACCCAACCCGCATGGATTCCGGCTAGAGTCGTCCCAAGAGAGGCTGTCAATGCCCAAAGCCTACAGCCTCATGTTCGAAGGAGCAACTACCAGAATGCGATCAACTCGGAGTCGGCAAGATCTTCAAATCCAACCCACGGAAGAAGCCAGATCCAGAAACCACCAAACGATTCGGACTTGCCAAGACACTTGCGTCCTTCAACCAATCGACATTCTCGACCAGTTCCTGTTTTCCACAATGTCGATTCCAATGGGTGAGTATCATTAGTGAGCTACAAATATTTTTATACTAGTGTAGCTTATTTCACGTTTAAAGGAGGCCTGTCACTAAAAAAAGTAGGTGAGATTTTTACATCATCGGATAGAGCTCACCGAGTTACATCGAAAAGTCTCTTACCATTTTTTACGAAAATCACTTTTAGGTCACGTTTTGGGGCCTCAAATGAGGAGCTTTCGCGTGGCTCTACACGCGAGAAAAAACTGTCGCGTGGGGAGTACTCTTCAGAAACTAGCTCCTAACTTTTAAAGGATGCGTTTTCATGAAAAATGATCAACTACAAAGTTGTTTCTCATGTAATTTGTAACAACTTTTTAGTACTTCATTTTTTAATGTCATGGCTAGTTTTGAGATATGACCTACAGAAGATGAGATACAAGAAAATAGTACTCTGATCGGCAGTTTGAGAAAAAAACATGAGATCAACTGGGTTAAATTTGAAACTGTAAACAAAATAATTAATATTAATTGCAACCTACTTACATCCGAACATCTCATTACTTTTAATACTTCTTCTTCTGTAGGTCTCATCTCAAAACATTTCCGATTTTTTAAAATCTGAAGTACTAGTCAGATCAAGTACTTGAGAGTGATAAGAACGTTGGAAAATATGTGTTTAAGTCAGGTTTCCTCCGTAGCTGAAGGTTTTTCTTCTTCCAAAACCCCGTCGGAGAGAATTTTGATGAGGGGATAATCAATCCTCTTTCCGACTAATACAAATGCTTCTCCTCTCCTTCTTCTTCTTCACTGCCAAAACGTCTTCTTCTCCC